CTATCCCATTCTCCTGGGTAGGAAGAATCAACAGAGTGAAAATGGCCACACTACCAAAACTACTATACAGATTCAATGCAATGCCAATTGAAATTCCAACACTATATTTCACAGAACTAGAAAAAATAATCCAAAAATTCATTTGGAACCAGAAGAGACCTAGAATAGCATCCTAGGCAACAGAGACATGGCAGAAGGTACAACAATTCCCAATTTGAAACTATACTACAAAGCCACTGTGATAAAAACAGCATGGTACTGGCAAAGAAACAGACCTGAAGATCAGTGGAATAGATTGGAAGATACAGAAACAACTCCAGAGGTACTCAGCTACATCATCTTTGACAAAGGAGCTGACCATCCTCAGTGGAGGAAAGATAGCCTCTTTTAATAAATGGTGTTGGTAAAACTGGATCTCAACCTGCCAAAGATTAAAACTGAACCATTATCTTTCACCATGCACTAAACCAAAATCCAGGTGGATTAAAGATCTAAATATTAAAAAAGAGACACTAAATTTGCTGGAACATAAGTTAGGCAGAACTCTTGAAGACATTGGCATAGGAAAAGACTTGATGAACAAATCCTCAGTAACATGGGAACTAGTACCAAGAATCAACAACGGGGATCTCATCTTATTAAAAAGCTTCTGCACTGCAAAAAAACCATCAACAGAACTAAAAGACAACCTCCAATGTGGGAAAAAATTTTTACCAGCTGCTCCTCAGAAAATGACTGTTATCTAGAATATATAAAGAACTCAAAACAATTAGCCCCCCCAAATATAAAGATCTGATTAAAAATGGGCATCTGAAATGAACAGACATTTCTCAGACAAAGAAGTAAAAGCATCAAGTAAATATATGAAAAAATGTTCCACATCACTGGTCATTTGAGAGGTGCAGATGAAAATAACACTTAGATTCCACCTCACCCCACTAAGAATGGCTGCTATCAAGAAATCAACCAATACCAAATGTTGGCAGCGTTGTGGGGAGAAAGGAACCCTTCTCCATTGTTGGTGAGAGTGCAGACTGGTGCATCCACTGTGGAAATCAACATGGAGATATCTCAAACAACTAGGATTAGAGGTTCCATTTGACCCAGCTATCTCTCTGCTGGGTATCTTTCCAAAAGAATTAAAAAAATAATATCACAGTGATATATATATGCACCTATGTTTATAGTGGCACAGTTTGTAAAGCTAAAACTTGGAAACAGCCCATTTGCCCATCAGTTGGAGACTGGATAAAGAAGATGTGGTTTTTGTATAAAATGGAATACTACTCAGCGACAAAGAATGAGAAATTAGAGTTGTTTGTAGGCAAATGGAAACATAGGATATATTCCTAAGTGAAATAAATAAGTCACACATGTATAAATACCAAATAGTTTCTCTGGCTTGAAAAACTATAATTATACATAAGATCCTAATGATATAATTGACAATTTGAAATAGGAAGAAAAGGGCTAAATGTGTTGGAGAAGTGGGAAGGGTAGGGGAAAGGTAATACGGGAAAAGAAAAAAGAACATGAGAAAAATGAAAAAATGGAAATAAAGTATTTGTAAATAGTGAAGAGAGGAGGGGGTGAAGGGAGTGCAGGGATAAGGGGGAAAAATGAGAACCAAGACCTGTCATGTAAATGTACAAGATCCCAATGATGAATGTAACTGTACTATATACCTAAAATGTACCAATAAACTCAATGTGGAAAGAAAAGAAAAGGAGAGCAAGAAACCAATAGTTTCTTGATTTTATTTTTTCAGATTTTAAAAAATTATTATTATTTTGGTACCGGGGATCCAACTCAGGACCTTGTTTTTGTGAGGCAGGTGGTGCAACCACTGAGCTAAATTCCCGGCCCCTTTCTCTAAGCCTTCTAAAAGTACGTATTTGCCATACAAAATGACTACATTCCTTGTGGAGAGTTGGTACATGCACATAACACATCTTAATTATTTTTCATCCTCTTCCCCTCCATTTCCTTCTTCTTCCCTCCATCTCTTGGTCCCCTTACCTTTTTCAAAAGATCTATCATCTCCCCATGTCTTATTATCTATCTTTTATTTTCTATTTATTTATACTTTGAGTTTCTCATATATGAGAAAGTATGCAATATTTAAGCATGTGAGTCTGATTTATTTCATTTAACATTGTGGTCTCGAAGTGCATTCATTTTCCTTCAGATGACTCAAGTTTATCATTTTTATGGCAGAGTAGTACTCCATTATATAAATACTACACTTTCTTTATGTATTCATCTCTTTTTGGGACATACAGGCTTTGACATTCTACAAATGCTCCTAAAATAGTGTCAAGGACTCTCCAGTCCTGGCTTTTGAACTGATGTGCCGATTGCTTCCAGAACTTCTCAGAATTAAGGGTAGGGTTAGGAAAGAGCTGGAAAATTCAATTTTCCCCCCCAGTTTAAAAATAGTCTGGAGGTAGGCAGAGAAGTGCCCAAGTAGAGAATTTAGGAGGTGACCCTGGCTATTGTATCCTGTTCCTATGATCCAAGGTGGCTGCTAAATGTTCATTCAGTGAAGTCTTCAATGTTGGCTCCTCCATTGCTGAAAAGGAGGACTGAAGCAGAAGTAAAAGCTGTCTCTTTAAGCATACTCCCTAGAAGTAATGTATAGCTATTCTGTGTTAGTTTGGCAGTCCTTAGTCCTATGACCGTATTTTTCTGAAAGGATCTTAGAATATGTTTTTTTTTGCCTTTTTGTTTTTGTTTTTGTTTTGGTAGCAGGGATCAAATTCAGGCCCTTGCACTTGTGAGGCAGGCACTGGAATCACTGAGCTAAATTCCCAGTTGTTGTTTTTTTTTAATGAATAATGATGTGCTCAGTAAAACAAAAACAGAGAACAGGAAAAAGCAAGAAAAAAAAAAACCTTGGGATTTTTTTTCTAAGAACAGACTATCATAAGGCAATTGCTAGTCTGTGTTCGAACTGTGCATCTAAAGCTACCCAAACAAATCCCTAGTTTCTCTTACCTTTTGCCAATTGTGCCAGTTTTGTTAGCTATCAAACCACCCTGCTTGTTTACACACAATCTTCTGTTCCCAGAATTGGTGCGGGAAAGTCCTAAACCTAACAGCCAGAGCCAATGCCATATACCTGTTAGCCCTGCTGAATGTTTTTATTAAGTTTATTGGTACTTTTAAAGTGAACAGTACAGTTACATTCATCATTGGGGTCTTGTACCTATGCATGATGTATCTTGATTATTTTTTCCCCATTCTCCTGCCCTCCCTTTTACTCCCCCCTTCCCTGTTTACAAAGAATTTGTTTCCATTTTTTCCTTTTTGAAAATGATACGTTGTGAGCTCCTCTTATATGTTTATTGAAAAGGAGTTTTTCACATTCCAGTCTAATTGCATACTCTCTCCTCTTTGTCTTTACTTTATTATAAATAAATCAGCTTTGGTTGCCTCCATGGCATGTCTTCATGTACCTGAATCTGAGCCCCTCTAGTTTTCAGTAGTGATTACGCCTCATGTGGGGATTGTGTCTGTTTCCTGCTGGGGGCAGTGTCTGGCCAGGAGAGTTTTGTTGAAAGAATAAATAGATTAATTTCCCTTTTTCTCTTACTTCCGTGTGCTTACATATAATATGTCTATATTTTTTATATTTTAAGAAGAGGTGTTTGTGCTTCCTTTTTATATGCTGATTGTTTAGTGACTCCAGAAACTTTGCTTTCTACTATCTTGAGTTTCTCTCTGAATTTGCAGATTTTACTTAGAAATTCCTCCCACCCACCTTAGAGGTGGCCTTTTCTCATTGTTTAGTCTCCTTGACTTCTCATTAGAATTACATGTTTTTTTCCCCTGGTTAAGTTTATTGGTACATTTAAAGCAAAAAATACAGTTACATTTATTACTGGGATCTTGTACCTTTATGTGATATGTCTTGGTTCTTATTTTTTCCCCATAGCATTATGTGTTTTAGACAGCACATTCTTAGAAATTCTATATTAATTCTTTTACCTTTCTTACTTTTCCTTCTGTATTGACATTCTGCTCTGTAATGGTGAGCAAGATGGTGTTTCTGCCTTCATTCTGTTCTTTTCTCTCTCTACCCCCGCCTTTTGTGAAATCTCAGCAGCCAGTGTACTCTTACTTTTAACTATTATCTCTATGTGGATGCTTACAAGGTATCCATAAAGCATATTTACTAGTCATTCCTGCATCATTCCTGAGTGCCTTAACTTAAATTCCTTTTTCATCTTAAATACTGTGTCTAAAATAGGAGATTTTAGTGTTGAAGTCCTAGATTTATGTCATTAGTCTTCTTAAATTGTCATTGTATTAAACCACATGACTAAGGATAGCAGTTCCAGTGAGCAGTTTTCTTTGTCTGGAATGCCCCTTTATTCTTTCCAGTAGGATTTTGTGAAAATGTATAAGTTTTACATAGATAGGGTAGGGGTGGAGGGGGAGATAGTGATCCTATCAATTAATAAGAATGTGAAAATACACATAATCAGTCCCACAGCACTTGATAAATAATGTTAGGATGATATTGAACCAGCCATATAGAAGGTTAGTAGGTGTATAAAGGTGGTGGGAAAAGAAATAGACCCAATTATTTTTATGATGACTCTTTTGTGGTACAGAGATTGAACTCAGCCCCTTCTATTTTTATTTTTTAAATTTTGGGTCAGGCTATTGCTAAGTCATTAAATTTCCCAAGCTGGACATGAATGTATTGTCCTCCTGCCTCAGCCTCCCAGAGTGCTGGGTTTATAGACATGTATAACTGCCCTGTTCATAATATTTTTATATAATAAATTCCTCAGAAGCATAGGAATGTGACAGATCTATTCAATGAAATAGGTCTTGTTAATGTTTGACATGTTTTAAACTGAAGGTGTAAGAAAGTGTGATTGAAATATAGGTCTGTATGTATTGAAAATATGGACTGGTAGAGTAAAATTGTAGATTTAAATGAGGATAAAAGACTCAATTTATTTATTTTACCTTTTCTTTTCCAATAGGAAATTTGAAGTACTGCCTTGTGATTCTTAACCAGCCTCTGGACAAGTGTTATCATCATCTTTGGAAAAAAGGTGATCTTAGTGTTCATACTTCTTTGCTTTTTATTCTGAGACTAAATAGCACGGCCTTAATGTGCCCCAGAACCTACAAAAAGCACCGAGCAGTGGAGTTCATAATAAGGCAACTCAGTTATTGAGTTATCAGAGGAATTTCATACTGCTTCTCTATCAGCCTGTTCATGTATGTGATTTTCACAGTATGGACCTTCAAGGACAGAGTCATATATTTCACAACTAGCATGTGGGTATTTATCTTGAATAATCAACAAGGCGTTGTTCAAGTGTAAATATTTTTAGCATCAGTAATGGCAGAAAGGTCTTCACATTCCTTATTTGTCCCAGTATCTGTTAGTAAGATCTGTAGGATGATCACGTTTGCAAAATTAAAAATAAGGCATGTTGACAATACATTAATATCACTACTGATGTTGAAAGTCATAGTTACAAAAGAAGTAGTTTAACAAAATTAATACTTCTAGGTTTCATGTGAGAAACAAACACTGTTAACTATTCATATTATATTTGACTCTTAAAGGATTAGTTCTATGCTGGAAAATAGCATTAAACATCACTTGCTGTTTTTAACCACTACTGTTTCTTTTTCCATGAAATCTTGAGGGTTTTTTTTTCCTCCCAAAGAAATACTTCATGTAGTTACCATTGTTTTTCAGTAAAATAGCTGGGCAGAACTTGATTCTTGGTTATATTGATGTATATTTCTGGTGACATTCTTCATGTTTTATCATTGCAGAATTTTTTAATATTCTCCACATTAATATTATGTACCATGAAATGCATTTCCTAATGTGTTACTAAGCTCACATCTGTAGACACGTAGTTATACTAGAAGGAAGAAATTCTTGCAAGTGATATGTATTTATTCTTGTCCAAAATGGTTACAAAGAAAAACCTTGATTTTCTACATGGGCTCTAAGTTAGCCCACTCACAATTTAATATTATAATTGTACTAACATTGTGCTCAGGGTTTGAAAATTATTTAGTAGTCAACTTTTCTTTCTTAGTATGTACTAATAATTAAATAATTATTATTGCATGAGGTAGGCCCTAAAGTCTTTTTCTTTTCTTTCTCTTTTTGACACTTTTTCTCACTTTTTTTCTAGTACCTAGTCCAGTCTGTGGTACATAAGTACTTAGTAATTAAATAACAGTAAATTAACCAATTTAATATATAAGTCATATTGCCAACAAATATCAATGAACTGATTAGGCCCACCCTTTTCTTTTTAGCTTCCTTATTATAATAGATTTTATTATTGTTAAAAGAACCGATGAGTGACTTATTGCAAATACTAGAAATAGAAAAAATGATCATTGATACAAACTTTTGGAAAGCTTGCATATTGAAAAACTACATCTTAAGGAACTCTATTTGGGGAATAAAGGTCTTATTTATAGGTAGGCTAAATGATGCAAAATTGAGTTGACTAAAGCTCCCCATTTGATTCTTTTTTCAGTGACTTAGATTTGAAAAAAGTCTCATGCCTGATAATATTAATCATTTGATTTGCATAAAAATGAAACTTGCTCAGTCTGTAACTAGAGAGGACTAAAACTATCTAAAGTGGCAGGTATTCTGATATGATTAGTTAATTATCCTAACTGAAATAAGTTCTTTTAGGTTTTTAAAATGTTCAGTCCTTTGATGTTTACTACTGGGGTAATTCTTGTCTTTCTGAAGTCATTAACCATTGTAAGAAGCAGGTATGTTACAATATATTCTAGAGAAAGGTGGACCAGGTGTTTTGAATCTCATAACAGAAACTGTGGTTTTTTATTCGATGTGTTCCCTCTTGTGTTCCTTTCCTTTAAGTAAAGGCCATGAAAAAACTCTGAAAAGGTTACTTGATGATTTTAATTTGTGAGAAAGAAAGCTTAGGAAGAGCACTGAGAGTTGGGAGGGGAAACGGTACTGTAGCTTGGGATATCAGCCAGTCAGTAAAGGCCCCAGGCGCTGTCCCTGTCCCCATTAGTCCATATGTCGAGCATGTTTTGTAACTTTTCTTTCATGAATACTAAGATTTTTTGAAGAACAAAAATGTAGGGATGGAAACAGGGCTGTTAAACTAAAAATTTAGTTAAACAGGAAAATTCAAAATCTGTTATAGCGTATGTCTTATAAAGTTGAACATTTATTTTTATCCTCTGTGTATGATTTCTAGTAGGTCTTTTCTGAGATTCCTTTCAGGTGAAAGACTATTGTACTTTGAGGGTTTATTTTTTAGTTTACTCTTGAAATATTTAGCTGGCATTGGTTCTTAAATTTGGTTTAAATGCTTAAGGAAAGGGTTCAAGGGTGATTAAAATTTTAGAAGTTTTAAATGTATTTTCCATTTTGTATATCATGAAATTTTGATGATTTTCTTGGTGTGAGAAGTCTTAGAATATATCCCACCATGTTCCAGCATTTTGTAGATTATATTTAACTTGTAGGTTATAAAATACTTAAGTATACAAGTAGACAGAAGGATGAAGAGCAGTGTAGTATCTACATTTTCTTGTAAATAGCAGAGGTTATTTGAATTTCGTAATGGATGTTACTTTCATATTTCTTAAGCATTTTCCAATCAGATTTTCCATTCTACTAAATGTCTTTTATCACTGAGAAAAAAATGTTATATGTGAAAATCATAGGAGTACTGTGTTTGAAGCACTCTGTTTATTTCTTCTTGGAGGTCTGTTGTTTTCAGTTGGTGTTACCATGGTACCAAGTTTCTTACAGTTAGTGGTAGATGTTTGTGAGCTACATAAATTTAAAGCTCAGAAAATAAATAGACCTAACCAGACGTACATTAATCTGGAATAAGTTTATATAGATCAACTGTATTTCAGGTTTTTGAGAGTTTGGCATCTTAAAACATGTCCTCTTTTTTAGCGTGAGATCACAACTATTCTCTTCTTTTTCCATGAGATTCACAGCAGGGTAGTGATCGTGTTGATTAGAATGAAAAATGATGAGGTTTTGTTAACATCAGGTGCTTATTTACAATGTGATACTTTTTTTCCCTCTAACAGGAAATTATTTTTCTTATCTTGATTTTTTTCTTTTCAATTCTTTGGTAATCATCCTTAAGATCATCTCAGGGTATGGACCACCTGCTCTGATTAATTTCTGTTGTATGAAGTCATTAAATACTTGACTAAGCAGGCATACCTTATAGATAAAAGCAATTACGATTGACACCTGTGAAATGTAAGCAAGATCTTTGGTTTTATGTCATCAGTCTGCGGTGGGGGGTGGAGGTAGAGGGTTTAGCACACTCTTCACCACTTCACTGGGCGCGCAAATGTTTGATTACAGTCTGGTCTGCACTCCTTTCTCTGGTTTGAGTTTGCTGCTGATGTTGGGAACAATGGAGGGGATGGGGGAAAGTAAAGGTTGAAATATTTGTTAAAGCTGATAAGAGAGGAAGTGGTACATATTTGACCATGTTCAAGCAATGACCAGTAAAGTCTTTGTCACATTTAATGACAGAATCTATGAGGTGCAACAGTGACACCTTCAAATAATGCTTCAGTGTTACGTAAGTATTGATTGTGAGTGTGGCTTTTAGTAACCTGCTAGCTGTGACTATGTGGATGGGTAGGGTATTACCAGAACTTCAGTCATTTAAATGGATTCAGGGAACATACTCAGCAGGTGGGACAACATGGGGCTTCAGGATAACAGAATTTCAAGTAGGATGATCTGGGAGACATCTGTTGCAGTAATGATCACCTTAGTGTTACACCTAAGAATTCTGTAGTAATTAGGCTTACCAAGGTTTTATTGAGTGCCAAATGGACATGATTGTGTCTCTTTCTGTGTTTAGTGTTTCACAGAACTTACACATTGAGCACATTTAAGTGAGCACTGAGACAGAAATCTGATGAGTACTTTGCATACTTGGTTCATGTCCATTGAGCAAAGCAGCTATGTGAAGTCTGTGCTTGCTGTAAATAAGACAGGCGGACAAGATCTGCCTTAGACTCCCAGAGAAGTTCAGGGGACTACAAGAAAGATTTTAATACATTAATAGCGTAGAACCTAAGATTTATTCTTAAATAGGAGGTAGGATACATTCTGTTATTCACACCAACTCATCGTCTCATCAAGATGATGGTCCATTTCTGTGAATTAGATCTTTAATCATTTTGGGTATGATAATAAAAGTATTTAAATTTTTTAGAAGTGCTGTGTTACTTCCCAGGATCAATCCACTTGAGTTGAGGAAGAATGATGTAATTTTTGTGTCACTTCTGCTCATGTTCCTTTATCACAATTAAGTAGTAATTCTTTTTAAATGTATTTTGTTCACAAATTTTTTAACTATCACTCTATGCTTTAAATACATTGTGATCTTGGTCAGAATTCTCTTTCAAATTTATTCATTTAGTCGGCATTTATCATTCAGTGAGCAACCATGGTGCACCTGCTAACTGCAGGAGCAGCCAACACATGGACAGTGTTTACCATCTGTCGGACAGTGTCCTAAGGACTCTGCACGTTCACTGCATCCTTTGTCATCCATCTGTAGTAACTACTATATTATTCCCAGCCCTGAGATGGATAGGCTGAGATACTGCAAGTTCCAGTGACCTATTCAGATTCACAATTCTAGTAAAAGGACATTAGGACTTTATACTCAAGTAAGTAATTCAAACAGTCTAACCGTGTAGCCTGTGCTGGGTATATGTTTGGTGACCTTAGCACTTGGGCTAAGACTGATATGTGAATGTAAGCATTACCTTGACAAGGGGTTGGCAGACTTTTCCTGTGTAGGTCAGATAGTTATTTTTGGCTTTTGGGGCCACATGATCTCTGTCACAATTCTTCAGCTCTGCGGTTGTGTAAAAGCAGTTATAGAAAATACATTTAAGAGTTGATGTGGCTGCATTCCAAAAATACTGAATTTTCAAAAATAAAGTGAGGACTGGATTTGGACCATAGTAGGTAGTTTGCTGACTTTTTTCTTGCTAATCTATTTTAGTTACCAGCTAGTTCTTCTTACCT